CCTCCGGGGCAGGCGGGAATTGAACTCATGCGGAAGTGGCTTTAGCTTCTTAGTGCAGTGCTTTAACCCGCTGCGCCACCAGGGAGGGCCCCTTCATGATTTTTACTGCACATACAGAACATAGATTTTTAACTGGTAACCACTCCAGTGCAATACACCTTTCTCCTTTGTAAGTCATAGGTTAGTCCTCTGCAACTTACTCTTACTTTTTATATTTATCAGTACTCAGTAGAACACCCTGTTCTTGCCTCATCTCAAAAATCTACCCCATTCCTTTTACCAGCAGAGATTCTTGAGGTCGGGTTCTATTTGTTCTCCCTGTTCCAGCCCCGTGGCTGGCACATGAGGCCTTCCTGGGAGGAGATGTTGAAATAACAGCAGCCACCATGTCCTGGCATGAATGCAATGCCAGACTCTTTCACATCTGATTTCATTTAATTCTCATGGCCACTGTATGAGATAAGTACTATTATTATTCCCATTTTTTCAGATGAACAACTGAGATGCAGAGACTTGAAGACCCAAGGCCATAAGCTGGTAAGTGGCAGACTTGGGGTTTGAATCCTGATCTATTCTGTGCCAAAGTTTTTATTGTGAATGAATAAATAGGTGGGGTGATAGGTTCCTGGAAGAAAATTGCCTCCATAACCACCCCCCCACCCATATCCTGGGTTTTCTTTTCCAAGGGTTTTCTGTGCTTGCAGCTAGCGTCAGTGCATAGGAGGAACTCAGTCAAGACCCTTTCTTTGGCTGCAGGGATCCTGTGGGTATGCCTACTCTTTTCGGGAAGGGGGTTTTTGAATCCTATTCTAAAAATAAGCCAGAATTTGTTAGGAGACCTTGCAGATCAGCCCAGGCATTTCAGGACAACCATTTGCCTGTCTGTAGCACAGGAAATTAATCAGAACCCCAAAGCTCTTTCCCTCTTCCCACAGACCAGCACTTTGGAAACGCCCAGTGCCTTTCTGCAGCTCTCTTAGAGGGCTGCACAGATGCCAAGGGCAGTTTAACACAGATTCATCTCTCTATAAGGGAAGTGAGAGGAGAAACACATGGGGGAGAAATGGGTCAGTTGTGCTGCAAAGAACTTGCAGAGAGAATTCATAGTCCTTCCCAACTTAGAAGGCTGAGGAGACACCTTGGAGCCTCTGTGACTGCAGAATCTGCCTGGGGTCTACAACTGAGTGTAGCTCCAATGGCCATGCTCTGCAAACCTCAAGCCTCTTTTTCGCTCTTGAGACCTCAGAGTGCCACTATGAGCAGATTATGTGTGTTAGGAGTTAGAAATAATATTGATGATAATAATAGTAATTAAAGTACACATGACAGGATGCTCCCTGGTGGCACAATGGGTTAAAGCACAGACAGCACTATGAAGCCATTGTAGGATGAGTTCAATCCCCAGCCAGGGAGGTGACCCACCCAGTGCAGCAGACCTCTCCTGCTGCTCCCCTCAGCATGTACTTCACTGATCTGCCTGTTCTGCTCTCCACTCTGTCTTTGGTGAATCCTCTCATTGTCTCTGTACCTCTGGGCTGAAACCCAGTTTTTGTATGCATCAATAAATAAAATCTTTTAAAAATATATAAAATACATATGACAACTACATCTTCTGTGGAACACTGTCCCTGGTGCTTTCTACTCAGTATCTTCTGTAATTTTTTTTTTAGATTTATTTATTCATATAGAACTGGGGTACAGGCCAGAGATGCGGAGGGTGAGAGGATTCACCAGGGACAGAGTGGGGAGCAGGACAGGCAGATCAACGAAGTACACTGCTGAGGGGAGCAGTGGGCAGGTCAGGAGAGGTCTGCCTCGCCATGTGGATCTCCTCCGGGGCAGGCGGGGATCGAACTCATGCGGAAGTGGCTTTAGCTTCTCATGCTGTGCTTTCACCTGCTGCGCCACCAGGGAGGGCCCATCTTCTGTAATTTTAAGCAAACACCGAAAGGACTATATAATAGCCCCATTTTACAGATGAGGATAATGAAGCACTTAGCAGGGGGGAGGGCAGACATGGGTAAATAATCCCAGGATTCTCTGGCTTCAGAACTGGAGCTCCACAGCTACATGTGGGTTCTGGCATCCAGGAAGTGAGAAGTGCTAAGAAACAAACTGGAGGTCAACTTGACACAAGCTGAAGTGTGCACATGCCCACAGCAAGTAACCCAGTGCCATGGGGATGCAAAGCTGGAGAAGAGGCTTTGGCTGGGGGAAACTAGGAGGGGCTGAAGATGAGGCAGCAAGGGAAGAGCATGAGCAAAGGGGCAGATGTGGGAAAGCAGTGGGTGTACTAGGAGAAGTTTGGATAAACTTTACTCTCTCTGTGTGTGTGTGTGTGTGTGTGTGTGTAAATGTGGGAAGGGATCACCAGGCCGAGGCTTTGGCCTTTATTCCATAGGCAATCAGGAGCTTACACAAGAGGTGTCTCAAGAGACAGGCTATACTGTTGCAGTGAGAGGAAGCAGCTCTCAGTGCATCTGTGTCCTGGCTTGTGAATGCAGCTCTGTGCCAGTACGTGGGAGGGCGTCCACATATATCCAGAGAGTCTCTGTGCCCTGCACCATGCTGGATGCCGGTCTGGGCTCTCTCAAAGGCCCCCTTCCCACGCCTCTGTGCCCTAGCACGCAGTAAGTAGGTCTGTAGGAAATGTCATAGAATTATATGTGGACTTTTGAGATCATCCACTCATTGCTTCTTTCCATTTTCAAGAAGGTGAAAATGAGGAACACAGATGGGGAAGGATTTGTCTAGGATCACAAGATGAATTAATAACAGAGCTGGGCACCCAGAGCTGGGAGCCCATGTCTCTTGAGCCCAAGCTTGGTCTTTTTCCGCATTTGCTGAATAACAGAAGTAGTATTTGTTGAGTGATAACTCCACGCCAGGCCTGGGGCTAACCACCTTCCCACGTAGCATCTCATTGAATCCTCATAACCCTCCTGAGGGCGCCCCTCTGGAGAGCAGGACGTCTATCCTTCCATTCCAGTTTCCCACCGCGCCTAGAGCAGGAGCCAGGCTTCTGGCTAGGCAGGCAATAAAACTTGGCGGAGCCCCGTCCTGTGCAGAAGAGAACGGGGCGGGGGCGGGGCTCTCACTCTCACTCACCCGCCCCGTCCCGCCCACAGCACAAACGTCACCACCTTAGCTCCGCCCCTCATTGTCAGTCCCGGGGAGCCGCAGGAGGCGCCCGCCGCCGGGAGCCTGCGCTGGAGCCCTCAGCCGGCGGGAGCGCGGGCCGG